TTGTTTCTTCCCTCTAGATACTGTATATGTAATTTTGTCTTGTGTTTTTTATTTCCTTATTTATACAATAAATAATTAATCACAAAAAAAAAATCAACTGATCAAATTAAGCTTTTAAAGAAGTTTGATCAGTGGATTAACAGACGTTAAGGCATGAATTGTTTGAGAGTTAAAACTGTTTTGGTTTGAAGAAAACATACATGATGGACACTTCCTGTTTGTCTTTAACACGTTATGTCATAATAATAATGGAAATGATGCGAGTCATGATGAAGATTAGTATTTAGCTAGTTGTTTTTTATTTTCACAACTCATGAGTCAACTAAATATTTAACTTCAGTTCAGTTAAGTCATATATCTAAGGTAGCAGGGAGACCAGTAACCAGTCTGAAACACTTCACAGTGAAGTAATGTTGAGGCGGTAACGCGACAGTGGATTAGTCTGTTCAGCATCACTCTGAAATCAGTCATTTTGCCTGGAGGACGACCGCTGCTGTAGATTTTCCCTCATGCTCAGTCCTTTATCGTGTTTTCATGTTAAAATCATTCAGATTAAAATAATCATTTGTACTGTATAGGTGTGTGTGGGGTGGATTATGCTACCATCTACTTGATTGTACAGTGGAAACCTCTCGCAGCGGTACCAGCATGTAAGAACACATCTGTCACCCTGCGTCACGGAGGAAAGGTATGTGCATCGAATATTTCAAAGAGTCACGCAGAGAACGAGCTGCTGAAATCCTCACAAGGACAGACAGGAAGTGATAATCTGAGGATCTGCGGATTAAACATCATTTGCTGATCAAATGACACATTTTACGTGGGTCTCAGTTAAATTGTATTCACTATAGGCCTAATATGTCGTTAAATGAGGGCTTATGCCATCATATGCATCATTACACAATAGAACCTCCCACAAAGCAATCCATTATTACCTGAGCTAATGACTCACAGGAGCCTCTGCTCTGCTAATACCTGTCGTTTGAGCTGTCTCCTGGTGCTTTTCACAATCAGTTTTGCAGAGGCTTAGCGAGCCCTGCCCTTGTTTCAGCTGCTGACGGCAGAAGCAGCGGGACCTCGGTGAGTGAGCGATGGGGAACAGGTGTCGCTCGCCGCAGCTGCAGCGACCTCACCACCTGTTGGTAGGTGATTCAGGGACGTGACCCCACGACCTCGGTCTGTTTTGTAACCGCAGCTCGGTTTAGGAAGAGCAGCAAAAAAGTTTGGTGGATGGATGGTGACAGTGGATTGACATTGGAGACTTCAGAAGGTATCTGGAAAGTCAAACAATGCAGATGAAAGTATCCAAATCTGTGGGTTTTAAGCACCAAAAACCACCTCAATGTAGTTTTACATCTCATCTCTCTGGAGCTCTAGGAACAACAGGTCAGTGAGCCAATCAGAAGAGAGGCTCAGGCTGACTGTTTTCTGAGTGATTGCATAAAAAATATAGCAGATTTCAGGTAAACACCACTTGGAGCGTGGCTGAGAGCGGTAACTGCTTTGTCGGGACATCACAAAGTTACATAAGTCCTGACGGCTGGTTTTAAGGCTCAGTTTCTGAATACAGGCTGTGTGCGTTTCTCTGCGGACTCAGCACTTTGATACTTTCTCAGTATTAATATTGAACCTAGACCTGCTTTATAATCAGAAAAGACATGGACATCTACTTTTATACAATATGGGACCTTTAATATGAACCACGTACTGGATCAGGTGCCCTTAAGGCAGCTTGTATTTAAACGTTCAACATTTTGGGAAATGTGCTCATCAGCTTTCTTGCTGAAAGTTAGGTAAGAGGACTGATACAGTTTTCATAATTGTCCATTAAATTTGAAGCTAATGCCAGAGAATGGTTAATTTAGTTTACCATAAAGGAGAGCAGGTGGAAACAGCTAGCCTGGCTCCGTCCAGAGCTAACAGAAGTTTACTCACTCTAAAATCTCTTAAATCCCCTCTCTGTTGTCTGCAAAGTCCCAGCAAAGTTCACTCTTGGCTTATTTTCAAAGCTCTCTTTGAATACAGATGACACAATTAATAATGAAATCTGAGAGGGATTACCTTACTGTGTCAATTAGGATGGTGTGACACTGATACTATTCCCCATGCAAGACATGGATTTAAGTAAAGATTATTATGTAATCGTAAAGTACGCCCCAAGGACTGTGTGTCAGGTGACCTGAGCTGCAGGATTCGTTCAGTGAGTCTGAGATATGGAAGCAGGTTTGTTTGTGTCTGTGTTTGCCAATGTGTTTGATTGCAGAATCTAGAGGCGTGTGTTCCTCTTTTTACCCGTCCCAATAGGAAACGTGTTGGAAGATCTTATCACAAACACATCTGACTTACGCTGTATGCTTTTCTTTCACCTCTCATCATTCCAGTTGAAGCCTATGTATTGCGCTGGGTTTTGGAATTAGTGGTCAGGGATATAGGCAGATGGGTGTTCACCTCCCTGCCTGCTCCTCCATCCATGGCGCAAATGTCACGACTCACAGGGCCTTCGGTTGCCTCAGCACCACAGAGAAATCACACTGGCACGGATGAACAGATTTAATTCAAATGGGAGCCCAGCACTATTCATGCATTCGCAGACCCCGACTTCATTAAAGCTCCACTTCTTTCGGGGGGTCACGAGGAGGAATGTCGGAGGCAGGGTGTGACATGATAATGAAGGTTATGAAGAGTTAATGCACTTTCTACATTACTCGACTTCCTTTGATTGAAAAATGGTCATTTAAAAGTAGGGAACTTGATTTATTAAAGTTGTGATCCTGATTAATTTGGCGACAGCCGCGGTTACTGTTATCAGCAAGTGTGGTTTAACACTACAGGTCCCAGATCTCTAAACACTCCTCCAGCAGCTAATCTGCCAGACAGGAGGCAACTGGTATATCTGTTTGTAGTGCAGCCAGACGAACTCCGTCACGAGCAACTGCAATCTGATTTAATCAACAGTTCATTGTGGCTCATCACTCCCTGCAATATTTAAAAGTGATTAAAAACAAATAAATACAAAAAAGGATGTTGTTTTGTAGACACATTTTTCGGATGAACACTCGCGGTCACTGTCAGCTAGCTGAAGGTTTTTAATGTGAAGAAGCAGAAGTAGCAATAACTCCAGTCCAACTTGAATTAAATTGCATTTTGTTTCATCTGCTGTTTTCTCCTTGAAGACAACAGGACATTATGTTTTTTGATTTCTCTGAGGAGTAACCCTGGCTTTGCATTACTTCATTTGAATAGCATAACCTCCGGAGAACTTGTTTCCATACAGACAAATAAAATCTTTGCTCAAAGCAGTTATGTCACTGCTCTGTTATAGGCAGACGGTCACGCTGACTGCACAAAAGTTACAGACTGAACAGCAACCCACATTGAATTTCCTGCTAAAATCTCCTTATCTAACTTACTAACATGAACATGTCTTGTTCTGCAGATTAGTTTTTTGAATAAGCCACCAAATGAACATTCACTATGGAGAAATACACAACTGAGGTCTGCAAGGTTCATACCAATGAGATAAAATTAAGCTGGATTACATGCAGGCCTCATTTCCCATGAATCCCTCATATGTGAAGGTAATTTGAAGCCATAGGAGTGGTGGATGAAAACTTCTATATATAGACGTAATTACTAAATGTAGAAGTGTAACCATAACGCTTACAGACAAAAGGCTGACCTCAAATAATAAAATGGGAGTCTGAGTTCATGGAAATCATAAGGATCATAGCTTTAACATTAAAAAATGTCTTTCACATACCTCAACAATAACCTTAACAATAGTTAGTCATGTGTGTTGCTTTAATAGCAGCAATCATTTCTGCACGAATAGTCGTCACTTATTGTAAAAGGCAGATATCTTGTTTTGCCGTGTCATTCCTTTCCAGAAAAGAAATACAGGATGTTTTTTCCCCTCTTTGCTAGCGCTGAGCTAACTGTCAAAGCAGCATTGATTGTATCAACATGCAATTAAATGGTAATTCAGTGATGCAGTGTTATTGTGGGAAGCGCTGCATGAACAGTCCCTTTAATTATCCCTGATTGTGATTATAAGCTTGCATATTTTTCCCTGTGCATCTTTATCTTTATGTACATTGTTTGCCCAACTTTCTATGAATCGGGACAATGGTGGAACTGCAGTGTATACTTACAGCACCGCCTCCTAAGAGTGGAGGTCAGAGCCGACTTTCTCTGCTGTGATTACTGTGCTGTTGTACAGTAGTTAGTGTAGGATGTGAGACGACGTGTTGGTGATTTACTGCGTCTTTACTCTTTCTTCAAGGACGGAGCCATGAAGTAGGGCTTCTTCAGCCGTCGCTGCTGCTGCTGCTGCTGCGGCTGCTGTATTCGTGTCCACATTCACTCTCCATCATGCACAGCAGATAGGGGGGTTACAGGGGCAGCCATGCACGGGGAATGGCAATAGAAGGTTGGCGTATTGTTATCAAATTAGATTCATTCCTCTGTTCTGAATCACCATGATGCTGCTGCTTTTAAACAAATGCATTTTATTCCATCAGCCTGACGTGATTTATGCTGCGATCCCTTCCCATCCCTGATTGGGGTTGCAGTTGAAGGACGGTGGCCGTCACTTAGCGAATGACACAAGCGTTAATGTCAAAACGCCTCACATGCCTTCAGAGCATCTCCCTGCCGCCGCTGGCCTCGCTGCGGAAGCAGAGTCGCAGCGAGATTGTTGTCTAGTAACGGTTGCCATGGATGCCACACTCTGTCAGGGGCTTAGGTGTAATGGATTTAAATTGAACTGTTGAATTTCGAGCTGGGAGAAACAGAGAGAGGGAAAGTGGGGAAGGAGGAGGAGGAGGAGGAGGAGGAGGAGGAGGAGGATGGCTGTAGAGACTGAGGGAGGAGGGAGCGACAGAAATAGTCTGAGCATAAAAAAAGACAGAGAGGGTAGAGACAGACACAGTCAACCAAAGAGACAATGAGCCCCAGATAGAGGAGAGAGGAGGGAGAGAGGGGGAGAGTCGTTCTGAAAGCCCTCACCATCTGTGATGAGGAGCTGGAAGAGCAGTAATTGTTCCTGAGAGGTGTGTGGGGGCTGTTCTCAGCACGGAGATATGGATGAGCTGCGCTGTTACCTGCCATGGCGGTGGCACACCACAGTGTCAGGCCTGTCTGAACGCACGGGTGAGGGCCAGCAGGGGCACCAACCTTCTATGTGGGCTCTCATTAATGTTGGTGTCAGTGATGACCTTCTCGTGCTCCCCCCGAGAACAACTTCGCTCCACACTGACACACCTCACGCTCTAAGGAGGGCCGAGTCAGGTGCTTTGCATCGTTCTTACAGCAGCGACACTCCACCACTCTCTCTCTCTCTCTCTCTCTCGCTTCTAGTGCTGATTTATTTTGACCAGAATAGTTTATTTCTGGGAGTCTCAGCAGTGGCCTCAGAGGTGTGAGTGGGAGTGTGCGTGTGGTGTGGTTTATCTGTGAACAGCCGTGGATGGCACAGAGCCTCTGTTTGAAATGACTGTTCGCATTTCTCGTTGGAAAGTCACAGAGCTCAGTTAAAGGAGCTGTTTGTTATAAGTTTTGCTATTGCTACATAGCCAGCGTTAGCATTAGCTGTTTATTTACTAGTCAAGAAACATTGTGAGTTCAACTTCCGCCCTATACTCACCAACAGCTGTCTCCAGCAGTGGAAAGCAACACCAAAGTTAACTCGTGCCTCTCTCACGTCTTGTCTTCTACTGAAGTTAGCATGCTAACCAGCTAGCCCAGGCCCAACTCGTTGCTTTTACACTAGCGACTCGCTGTAGCCTCCAACCTGCCCTGAAGAAGTAGCGCTGCTCAGAAGGCCGATTATAACCTCTTGCAGACTCAGCCACTAACAATGAAAACTACGATACTAGTGAGTGTGTGGAATGTTCCTATTCGTCAGGTCAATTTAGTTTTATTCTCTCTCAATTAAATCGAAGGCAACTGGACTTGTATTTGTCTGTGGAAGACGTTTCGCCTAAAACTAACCACTACAGGTAAATGCCAAATATAAATAGTATCAAAAATGGGGTATAAACAAGAACAACAAATGACTTCGACTCCTCGTCTAGCACCATCACTAGGTCAAAATTTTAATTAGTTTCTTCATATGACAGCTGCACCACAAACTGAGGCCACAGTAAAATTCATTAAAATACAGCAACATTGGTAAAGAAATATAAACAAGAACAACAAATGAGAGTAGCTGTGGATCCCAGTCATTCTTTCAGTTCAGTAATATTTTGTATAGTGTGCTGTAGTGTTTTGTGTATGTGTGCAGGGGAGTGTCAGTGCGGATCTGAAGTGGCAGGAAGCTTTGAACAGCAGTCACACGGCCTCTCTTCATCTCCAGCGTGAACTAAGTGCTGAGGTTCAGGTGCATTGTTTGAACCAGCAGCAGCACTTGAAGAGTTCAGGTTCACCTGCGAAACGTCACTGAAAGAGACACCGAACACGTTGTTTGTAGTCGTTTTGTGTCTCTTTCAGTATCAGTGTCTCGCTCCTACATGAGAAGGGTTTTTACGCGTCTGTGATCAGGGGCCCATCGTCTCATAATCTGACCATGCGAGCTGTAGTGCCTTTACATGGGTAAAAGAAAGAATGAATGACTGTATTTTCCCTGTTGGAATACAGTATTACCTGAGAGTCGTTGTTAACTATCTCCAGAATAAACCGTAGCTTTCAGTGGTTATTTTTGTGTCAACAAAAGACTTACATTGCTGAATGATTTGTTTTAATTTTGTGGTAACAGCCATTCTGGAGGATGTCTCATTTAGGAACAAAATTCTTAAATACACATGATAAAATATTCATACTCAAGCTGTCTCGTACCCAGAGGGTAAGACATGAAAGTATTAACAAAAAAAAAAAAAGTTACTTCCATTGCGCTGCAGTCCTCAGTGGATTCTGGATAATAATGTTGCAGATATTAATGTTGCGTATGATAAGTGGATATTGAGGGCTTCAGACGGATCCTTCGGGCTTTGCCTCTGTGAAAATCCAATGAGACGACTCGCAGGCGGCCGTGGTTCTATCTGTGCACCTCGACCAGGAAGGGCTGTTAATCAGCACTCAGGGTTACATCAATGATGTCAGCACAGTGGCCACTATACATCACGGAGCAGACGAGAGGCGATGAACTCAGCACAGAGAGAACCCCTCTGCTGGAGGGTTTTCCTTTGTGTATGTGTGCACATGTCCCTTAAAACGAGAGCGTCAGTGGTTAAATGCCCTAAATTGTTTACGTTCAAATGACGTGTTCTAGTGGCCGTAGCAATCGTGACTCTTGTCTGCTGGATGCGAAGGAGGAAAGGGTGATTTTTGGAGCCACTAAGTTTTCAAAGCGAGGACAACAAAACAAAACGTTGGACTTTAAAGGAGCAGTAGAAGTTGAGCTATTGCTACATAGCCAACATTAGCATCGACAGCTTTACCTTGCGACGTTGCGAGTTCAGCATCAAACTGTATTCCTTTGCTCTCCAGCGGTGGAGAGCGAGGCCAATGTTAACTCTTGTTTTGCTTCTATTTCTATCACTTTTTTTCTTCTACTCAAGTTCGAGTGCTAACCAGCTAGCCCCAGTCGGGCCGGACCGTCTCATTACTGTCCGATACGGAGTCACTGTAGCGTCCAGTCTGCCCTGAAGAAGCAGCGCTGCTCATCCCCATAACCTTAACCATGTGGCTGTTACTGTAATCACGAAGACGAAACCCCCTCACCTGAGTGAACTAGTAATTTTTAACACAAACCACAAGTTCTTCTAAACCCAAGTCATTTTTTTGCCGAAATGATACACACTCAAAATCACTGTGTTAACTGGGTTGACGCAGCTATTGGTTGATATGATGCAGACTCAGTAATGAGTGATCTTTACCCAGTACAAATGGGTGGAAAATCATCCGAGAGTTGTTTTGATCCAGTGACCCGGGAGTGATATATAGATAATGCCAACAATGGGCACTGGGTAAAGTTAACCCAGTTAACTGTGCTGTGTAGCTACTGTATTGACCAAAACTGGGTCAATTTTAAACCCAGTGATTTTACCTTAACCACAGCAGTAGAAGACAGTGGACTTCCAATATAAAATTGATGCATCAGAGGTCAAAATATGCAGATTTTTGCCCCTAGTATGTGTCAAGCTCCAAAACAATATTATAGTTGTACTTTTTAATAAGTTGATTTAAAAGTAACTGATAACTGGAGCCATCGAATCAATGCAGTGGAGTAAGAAGTGAAATATATCCCTTGAAATACAAGTTACAAGTTGCACAGAACCTAAATACAAGTGCCTCAAAGTTTCCATCTCTTCTATTGTGAGTAAGCGTGTGAATAAACATGCTGGTGACTGAGCAGTGAACTTGTGACCTGTATAAATACATGCCTGTGTCTGTGTGAGTGTGTTCACTGTGTGTGTGTATGTGTGTGTGTGTGTGTGTGTGTTTGTGTGCGAGGCCTGGTCTGATGACATTATCAGGGCTGGTGATCTGCTCTGTAATTGCCTGCTGCTGACACGGCAGCGAGGCTGATATGGCTGCAGAATAAACAGTCTGCTAACAAGTAGAGGGAGCTGGTCTCCACTCGGTCCACACAGCGCAGCGTGTCCGGCGTGTCCAGCGTGTCCAGCGTGACATCTGGACTGGACGAATCACAGAGAGGAGGCGAGAGAAAAGACGGGGAGGCGAGAGATGAGAGATGAATAAAAACAGCAGTGGAATATGGAGGGAAGGGGGGGTGGCCAACAAACTGACCAAACTGATCAGGGAGGCTGGGTCCGTGCTTCTCTGCAGCCCCGGGTGCTGGGTGTAGAAACTGTTGAGCATCATGGAGAACATCTCACATCCCCTCCACCTCCTGCCGGTCAAACAGCAGAAACGTCCAGTCAGACACTTCTTCAGCTCCACTGTGACGAGGAACGCTACAGGAAGTCATTCCTCCCAGCTGCCATCACTCCGTACAGACGAGAATCACTGTACTGTAAAGTATATTATATCACCACCGTTGCACAGTGTGTATTCAGCTTACAGTATAGTTATGGGTCTGTTTTGTCTCTTATTTTGTATTTTTATACTTTATATATTATCTTGGAGTAAGTATCTTAGTTTAAACAACACAAACAATCCTTAAAAGTCCATTTGTCAGCAGAGTTTCCTCAAATAAGATTTAGATCTAAAGGGTTTTCAGTTCAAGGACAGAAAACATTATATTTGGCCAATAATTTCCAGATTATTTCTCTTTTTTTTTTAAAGTATTGTGAGTATGTAAGGATTTTATCTGGCTGTTATTGACAGCTGGCAGCAGATGACAGGAAGCGATGGGAGAAAGACACGAGGAATGTGATGCAACACAGCTCCCCGGCCGGATGTGAATGTAACGTCCCTGAACCCCCAGGCCACCACAGTTGGCTCCACAGCTCCTGTTTATTTCAGTATTTCAGTATTAGTTACTGCTACTTGAGGGAAGTATGCATTAGTCTGTATCTGTGATAACGGCTGGTTGGGAAAGCCTGCAGACGACAGGCAGACAGACAGACAGACAGACAGACGCCTCTGGAGACACCAGAGACTTTCCTAATCGGCCCATATGCTGCATCTCACTCAGGACAGTTTCTCATATTAACAAGAGTCTCATTCCTCTGGTGGTTCTCCCTCCACAGCCTTTTCATTTGTTTCACTCTGGGTCTTTCTCTTTATCCTCTCCTAGCCTCTTTCTTATCCCTTTATCTGTGAACTACCTCTCTCTTATTCTACTTCTCTACTCATCCGTCTGTTTACTGCTTTTTCTCTCGCTCCTCTTTGCTCTATTTCCTGCACTGTTGGTGGCTGAAAATACAGTGATATTGATATTTGTTTTGGGTAAACCGAATTTAGAATCTAATAGCTGATTGTTATCGGTACATTTTATTTTCACACTCCCTTCTTAAGGAAATAGTTTGTTATTTGGGGAAATATACCTAAACACCAAGAGGTAAACTAGAAGATTGGTGCTGCTTTCAATGTCTGTACAGTAAATATGAGGCTTAGCTTAGCATTGCATA